CTGACTACCCCGTGAGGCCTGTACCTCCCCAGTCACTATACTCATTGTAGTTAAAGGTGGTTAATGGCTGAATGTTTATTCTCATGGCTAGACCATATTCTCAAGAGCACAGGGATCAAGCCTGTTTGTTTTGTCATTGGATCTCCTTAATTCCTAAAAGCTGATATAGAACAAATAAGGAATGTCACTGAATTAATAAATTCTGGTGGTCTGGTCCTGGGAAGTGTGCATCTTTAAAGCTTAACAGCTATCTACAAATTTTGTTTTGAGATAAAGAAATTGCATTTCCATACCCAGGTGGCCAGGACTTATTTTCTCTTATTACTCATCAGCACCTTTGTGGGCATCTTTATTCACCCTTATACCTGCCCAGTCCCCTTGTGAATAGGACCAAGTTTTCTGACCAAACTGATACATCAGTGAGAGAAGTTTTCGGCGCAGTGTACATGTAATGTGAATATGAGGACGGTGCAATTTTCCAACTTGCCCAGGGTCTGGTAATACCCTTTGTGGCACCTCTTCATTCACCTCTCTTCCACTGGAGTTTTCTGTAACCCTTTCCTTATTCACACATACCTATATCAGCAGATAGTCAGAGCAGTGCAAATAAAGTAAGCTAAGCCACTTTTTAAGTTTCCCTTTTCTAGCCTTAGATGTGTGTATGTTTAAGTGTGTGGGGTTGTGTGTGTGTGCGAGTGCAAGAGAGAGAGAGAGAGAGATTCTGGCATAACAAAAGTTTATTGTTTTTAGTATACGTGTATTGACTTTTACTATTCTTTATCCCAGAAAATGTTTATCGTGACTTTATGTTAACACTCTCCTCCCCACCTCATTACCACAGACAAGTGTTGTATACTATAATGATACTTCATGTGATCCTTGAGAAACACAGAGATATTCTAAATGATAGGCTGATTTCCTTTTTTTCTTTAAATTTCTATTTTAATGCCTATGTTTATTTTCTCCTAACCAGTTTTTCATTTGCATCACATTTCCCCAGAAAAATCGAGGCTCTTTCTATGTAACTGATTCCTCCCCTCCAGATCATTGTACCTGTTGGCGCCAGAGCAATCTTCCTCATTCATAGCCTTGCAGATGTTGCTTGACAGAGCCAGGAACTTCAAAAGCTCCAGAATACCTAAACGATGATGGCCAAATTCCTTAGCCTGGCATTGAGGATTCTCTAGCCCTCTAGTCCCAGCCTCCCTCATTAATTTCTTTTTTTTTTTCTACATACATTGGTTAAGTGCCAGTGGTATGCAAGACTGTGTGATATGGATACAGTGACAAACATGAACATGGTTTCAAGTAGCTCACAAATTTAAAAGGGGAGACAAAAGCTGAATTGAATAAATAAGATCCAAAGAAGGAGAAGGAAGTATTGTCTCTGGTTGCGTGTGGGGGTGGCGATCACAGAACTCAGTGCTGAGCATATAGTAAGAGCTAACTCAATGTAATGGATGCATGCATGAAAGAAGGCAATGTCTGAGCTGTTCTCCCAAGAAGTTAATATGACAGAGGTGATTGCCGTGGGTTCTGGGCAGAGGTAAGGAAAGAAAATTACTCAAAGGAGATGCAAGAAGAGCTGATCCACAGGTGCCATCACATGCTGCCAGTGAAGATGGGATGTGGGCAACTATGAATGTAGAATCATTTTCTGATGGGGAATCAACAGAGATGCCTAAGAGGAGGAGGGGTTTAAAGATGCCAACACAATTTCCAGTCTGCGTGAAGATGCTCCCAATATCAGAAGAAGGAAAATCAAGGGGAGGTTTAGGAAAGGAGATTTTCAGACCACTTGATTTTGACATCTGTGTGAGATATTCCAAGAGGAATGTCCAGTGGTTGTGTGGGGGAAGTGTGTGAAAGTTTGTTAGAATAGCATTTAAGTGACACATGGGAGTCTTTGGAGCAGAAAGCATAGTTGAGCCACAGACGGGAGCGAGATTGCTCAGGGACAGAGTGCAGAAAGAATCACCCTCTTCTCCCCTCTTGAACCCTTTGCTCCAGGCCAGCATTCTATGTTCCAGAGCCCCCCAGGAGCAGACCCCTGCCTTCTGCTATCCACCCCAATTTTGATGTTCTCTTCTTTACTTGACTAAGTGCACCTTATATCAGCAGAATTCTCCAAACATTTCTTTGGTGTCAACTGTATACCAGACACTTGGCTAGATGCTACAGGCTACGAAAAGGGGTCCTGTATCCTCCAAGGAGCTGTCTTTAAGATCTTGTCTGAGTCCCAATCCACATGACCTTTCTCTGAATTTTTAAAATATATCCTCCTGCATATCTAACATTTAGTATGAGTCTCAGTATTTGTATTTATCTTGCTAGGATTCCACTGCATCTCTATCTAGACAATGAGGTCCTTGAGAATACACACTGTCATTATCTGCTTTGAGATCCATAAAGGCCTGATACAATGCTTTAGACACAGCCGATACTGTTTTTAAGTCTCTGAGGCTCTGCTTTTATTTACTAGCATTCTCCTCTCCCTGCCTCGATCTCTATTGGCATCAGTTCTTTCATCTTAGGTTTCTCGTTTGATGATTCAAAAGTATAGATAAAAATATAGTTTGTTATGACTCACAAATTATAGAGAAAATTTTAATGGTGAGACACCTCTGTTCACCTTGTCATTCAAAAGAGCTAAAGTGTTTTTTTTACACCCTAAATATAAAACGATAACATAAATACTGCAGCAAAAAGTGAAGCAATCATTAATAATTAAGTAATTAATCACCTAGGTCTATAGTGGGTAGTTTAGCACAGTTGTTGATGTTGAAAGCATTTTCCCTTTGTTACAATGACACTTTAAGAGGAATCGGGATTATTTTAAATATTTCAGTAGTTGGAGTCATGAACTTCAGAGCTTGGAGGGCAACATATACTTACATACCAGAGGATCAATGGTTTCTTTTCAAGAGCCAATTGTGCATGACTGGCAGAAGCTTTGAGGACACTATTTTGAGAAGGGTGCAAGGTGGAGTGTGGGAACGGACCACGGTAGGAAGTGTTCACCACACGTGAAGGTAATGAAGTCACATGCTCACCTTCTTGGGCAACATCCTTAATCCACAGATGAAGAAACTGAGCCTTGGAAGAGGAAAACTTTCAACAAATTATTATTCATTGAGGCCTACTATGCACTAGTCAATTAGCCATATAAAGTAAGCTTCTCCTTAACCCAGATGTCATATTGGGAAGAAGGAGCACAACTTCAAAAGTCCTTAGCACAGTTCACATGTAGAAAGTGCATTTGCATTTCTATGTTTTCTCATGCAACAAAAAGAAGAAAAATGCACTCGTGAATTTATTTTCAGCATATCCACTCAGGAAAAAAAAAAAACAAACTGAAAGTTGATTTTTTAACATAACAACCTAAATGCAGTTACTTTTCATAATATTTGATTGTCACAAGTATTGTATCTCTTCCCAGAAATAACTTTACTCACATTTTTAGATAAGACTATCTCTGATCAAGATGGAAGTTCCAAATATAGACGACTGACATTGAGTCTTTTGAATTTCAAAATAAACAGAAGCTAATTCATAAATTTGTTCACTTTGTTCTCAACCGGAAAGCATTCAGTAGACATTAAGTCTTCAGTATCTCACACACTCACATCCCCAGAGTGCTTTCAATCTGGATATTAAATAGCCTGATGCAGAAGGTAAAAACAATTCTGGCTTTAAAAGCAACTTAAGTGCTTTAATAAACATGGCCCAAGTATATAGCAATGTGATTAATGGAGTGTCTGGAATTATTCATGTCTATAAAATTTAAGTTAGTTTGTGTGGTTGAATCAACGCTTAGCTCTACCTGAGGGGAAAAATTTCCGCAGAACACCCACACCTATTTTACCTGCTGTGTGATTTTTGGAAAGTTATATTTAACTTCTGTCTTTTTAACTATGAAAAGTAGATTGTAATGAAGCCTACCTTTTAGGGACAGTGTAAAAATTAAGTATTGTAAAGAAGATAATATTCAATGACTTCTCATGTTTCTCGATTATCCACTGTTTGTAGAAAACTAAATACTGCACTTATCATTTGTAAGTGGGAGCTAAATGATGAGAACACATGGGCACATAGAAGGAAACAAAACACACTAGGTCCTTTCGGAGGGTAGAGGTTGGGAGAAGGGAGATGATCAGGAAAACTAACTAATGGATACTAGGCTTAATACCTGGGTGATGAATTAATCTGTACCACAAACCCTCATGACACAAGTTTACCTATGTTAACAAACATGTATTTGTACCCATGAACTTAAAATACAAGTTAAAAAAAATGACCTTCACAACTCCATACATTTTTTAAAAACCCACCACTTTATTATCTTTCATGATTCTGTGGTTGACTGGGATTGACTGGGTGGTTCTTCTACTCTGTGTTATGTTGACTGGGATCATCTGGGTGCTCAAATGGTTTGGAATGCTCAGGATGGCCCCTTTGCATTCCTAGAGTTGATGCTGCTATCAGCTTGAAGCTCTGGGGGTCTGTTGAACAGACCACCTCCATTCTTCATGTGATTTCTCCTTGGGACATGGCAGCTGGCTTCTGAGAGAGGGTGTTCTTAGTGCTCAAAGAGAAAGGAAGCAAATACTGTAAGTCTTCCTGAGGCCTGGAACTTGAGTCCCAGAACACCACTTTACCATAGACTATTGTCAAATCTCTCACTCAGGCAGTCCAGATACAAGAGGATAGAAACTAGATGCACTTTTTAATGCAAAGACTTATATATGTGAACAATGAGAGGGCAAATTCTTGGGGCCACTCATGGGCATTAGTTGTCACTTCATTACATAGAGAATAACATCTGAAATCCTTACTAAAGCGTGCTATGATATGTATTAGTCTGTTTTTTTCTCTTTTTCTTTTCTTTTTTTTTTTTATTAGATATACTCATTTATTTGACATATTAAATTAGACAAAGAAATACATACGTAACCAGATAAAAACAATCACAATCACATTCTCACACTCCTTGAACACACAGCAGTGGTCAAAAATAATGGATTGTAAAATGGACCCCAGGATTTAATGCAAAAACCACCCCATACAAGAAAAGTCTCAGGCTTCTAACTTCACTGAATCCAGTACTAAACGTGCTTCTTTATATTCCTCAGTTTCTTCCAAGTCTTTTTCACATTCTAATATCTGTTGAAGATACAAATATGCGGCTTCCAACCTGCGCTGGCAATCTGGGATCATCATCCGGGATTCTTGTAGGATCTCTACCTGCTTTTTAATGTCATAATTTTCACCATCTTCAGCTCTCATTTTTTCAATCTTTTCTTCCTGTTGTTTTGCCTCTTTTTGATACATCACTTTTTCTTTGACCAACCGCTTCACCACGCCGGTCTTGATCTTGATCTGTCTCACGCGAGGTTCAGCAATGGTCCCTCGAGCCCTGCGAGAAGGAGGGGCGAAGAGCCAGGGTAACCGTCGTATTAGTCTGTTTTTACACTACTGATAAAGACATACCCAAGACTGGGTAATTTGTAAAGAAAAAGAGGTTTAATGGACTGACAGTTCCACGTGGCTGGGGAGGCCTTACAATCATGGTGGAAGCTGAAAGGCACCTCTTACATGGTGGCCAGCAAAGAGAAAATGAGACCGAAGTAAAGGGGGTTTTCCCCTATAAAACCATCAGATCTCATGAGATGTATTCACTACCATGAGAACAGTATGGGAGAAACTGCTCCCAGCATTCAATTACCTCCCACCAGGTCCCTCCGACAACACGTGAGAATTATGTGAGCTATAATTCAAGATTAGATTTGGGTGGGGACACAGCCAAACTGTATCAGGTGGGTCCTCATCTCCCACCAACTCCACCTTCTTCCCTCCTTTTCCTTCTCTCTAAGCACACCAACCATCTTGTCCTTCCTCAAATAGGCAAATCTTACTCTCATTTTGGGTCCCAGGACTTGCTGTTTTCTTTTCCTGAAATGTTTTTACCCTAGATTTTAGACTAGTTCTCTAACTTCATTCAGGTCTCTACCCAAACAATACCCTCTCAGAGAGATTTTTCCATTACCATCTCATCAGAAAGTGCCATGCACATCTGTCTCTCTTCTATCATATTATTTTTATTTTCTTTATTTATCTTTATTTTATTTCAGTTTCTTTAAAACACACTCTGTGAATGAGAATGTGTGTGATAACTAAAAACTAATTTGTTTGTTTGTTTTTTCCTTTTCAATTACTACATACTATTCTATTTCTTTTTTGCTTATTGTCTGTCTTTCCCACTAGAATATAATCCTTTGAGGTCAGGAACTTAGTATTTACTAATACCAGTATTAGTAACACTTTAGTAAATACTAGTAATACTAGTATTAGTAGTAAATATGAGTAATTTACTAAGGTATTTACTTAGTAAAGTGTTTACTTAGTATTTAGTAAAAAAAGTGTTAACTTAGTACTTAATAACTTAGTAAAGTGTTTACACTTTATAGTGTCTAGAACCTTGTCTAAGCATAGTATATTCTGTATATGTGTATGTGCACGCACATATATGTATACATCACATACACAGGAGTGAAATGAATAAACTTGAAATAACTTTGTAAATTGTCTAGAATATTGTTAATATTATTAGGCAAAATCATAGTTCACTTTCTCTCCAGCTGATTCATTCCTATAATGCAGGAAACATTTGCTAAATGCATAGTATATGTAAACCTCTGTTAATGACTTGTTGCTTAAACAGTTAACATAGATTCAAAGTTATTGACTTACAAGTTTCTTGTTAGATGACATTATAAATGACAATGAGATCTGAGTTATGTTCTCACTGAGCGTTTTGGCTTAAACGTGCTTCACAGATTGGCCTTTTAAACCCACATTTCAACCTTGCGATTACATGTCAAAAATCACGACTTTGGAATGAAATGCCTGAGTATAGTTGTAGCTATACAGATAATCCTGCATTGGGGGAGATAAAACTACAATTTATTGAATGTCCACTATGCTCCATGTGTCTTCTGTAGCCTACCTCATTTTATCAGCTCTGCTAAGTGGAATTTATGATATCCCACTTACAATTAAGAAAACTGTGGTTCAGAGTGCCTTGATTCTCCCATTTCTCTAGTTCCTAGCACAGAACCTGGGAAAGAGAGGCTCAATAAATATGGCTTAAATACTAAGTAAAAGACAAATTGACTAAACTGACATCTTAAAATGTCTCCTAGGAGATAACAGACCTGAATTTGAACTTGGATTGATGGGCTCCAAAACTCAAATTATTTCCATCAGTCCAGGGCGCGTCATGGTGGCCTTAGTAGCATCAGTGTCAAGTCTAAACATTGGAGAAGAGAAGTAATCTTAGGGGTGAGAGTTGCGGGTCCACTTTGAAAGTAAGATTGAGGCAGGAAATAAGATGATTATTCAAACTGACAACACTTTATATTAAATGCTACAGTTGGTCCGATGTGGAACATCTGTTTAATATGACATGCAAAATAAAACTTTCCTGCTGACGTTTCCAGCTCCTAAGTGTCCTAGAAAATGCTGGATGATCTACATCCTTTGAATATTAATGAAGCAAATTAGCTCCAAAAATGCCCTACTGTGTCTCAACTCCAGGAACCAACATGACTCATTAGGCTCCTGTTGACTAGAAATGTTAAAGTGGATTTTCTTTATTTTCATTTTAATTAAGTAAATTTGACAGGCTTTCTTGATTCTCAATTGGCCAAGACTCTCAAAGTGTGGAATGAGAAGAAAATAGGACCCTCTTCTAAACAAGCTTTGCTGGCCTGTGTTGTATTTTATTATTTCTTGAAGGACACCATGAAGCAATCTGTAAGTTTTAAGTCAAATGGAATCCAAAGGTTTTGCTCAGTGGAGAGAAGGTAGAAATAGAGAAAAAAAAGTATTTCCTACCTTTGCAGATGAGAGGATATGGAGATTACAAATTGGGTCAGGTTGGTTTGCTGAGTGTCACAATACTTTGTAAGCAGCAAGCATGGTTTTCATTCTCTACAACCTAACTGAGCCATAACAAAAGGCTGCAGTGATTCACAGGAGCTTATTTTTTTTCATCCAGATGGACTGATGCACAGCCATAGAGACTGTGCAGGATCATAGCTAAGAACCTTATCATCCAAGCTGCAAGGAGCCAAGGAAGACATATAGTTTGATTTCTGTCTTTTATTTTCAGCATCACATAAAAGCATCTTAATCTTAAGTTGTACCATTCTATTGTAGGTTTATAACCACATAAATACCTTCTGAGAATGTAATGAACAGAAACAAGGTATAAAGACCTGGAATAGGAAGGCTTGGAGATACCCAGGAAAAAGAAGAAAACTTGTCTTTCTTTGAGCTTCCTCCCTAGATTGCATCACCTTCTCTTCTGTTAATGATGAGCGTTAGAAAGCTCCCAGCTAAACTGGGCTACAAATGATCCGTTAATAAAATATTCTCTTTTTAGGGCATTATTATCCCCATTTTACAGATAATTTCACTGTGCCAAAGAGGGTATAAGGAACTTCTTCATTGTCACAATAACTAATTAATTAAAACATATTGAGACATTGGTCTGGTAAACATGTTGATTACCATGGAAACAGAAATAAATAAAACATAACTACTGCTCCAAGGAACTCCTGTCAACACTACTCACTGTGTTTATCTGGAACCTTCAGTCTATCCAGCTAACGATATTTATTGAGCTCCTACTTTGTGCTAGACACTGTTTTTTTTTTCAGCCAAATAACTTCTATTTTCGAGGTTTCTTTTCTTCATGCCTCTTACCCTCAACATCTATCTAAATCCTAGAAAATAGCATTAGGCAAAGAGAGAAAGAAATGAGGAAAGGGTCCTTCCTTGGTTAATCATCAAGTATTAATCCACTCAGAACATATTGTAGGTGGGTTTGTAGAAATAAAAAATAGCTAAGGTATGCTTTTTCTCCACAAAGAGCTTGCAGTGTAAGAGAAAATCTGAATGGCATATAAACCATACAAGATTGAATAGCTATGGTAAAGCCCTAAATCAATGATTCATAGCTGTTTTACATATAAGGCTCTCCCTCCCTCCTTCTTTCTCTCTCTCTCTATATATATACACATACACATATATGTGTGTGTGCCTTTATATGTCATCTCATATACTCATATAGTTTCCCTGTATATACATTATCTTATTTATATTTTATATTTTTCATTTTTTATTGAGAAAATACTTATGTGTGTGTGAATTAGGATCTCTTGGTATAACTCCAAAAACTCTGAAGAGTTTATAGCCCATTGTCTGGGACCCTCTACTTCAGATGCAATAGAAGGTGAAAGTCAGAAGAATACTTCTTACAAACCAGTGGCAGCTCCCCCCATCTATGCTTTCCTTTTGCATCTCAAGACTTAGGCTAAGTTAGACTCATGGTTTCAAGCAGTGGTGTGCTGGAAAACTGACTCGCTGGAGAAGAAACAAACAAACAAAAAGCCCTGATTTGTAGTGTTTGACAATTTCTGTGGTGTAAGTATTCCCATGGTAATCATGGTAACTGATTTTTATGCTACTAACTTGATATCATTGAACATGAGGTTGGAAAGATATGAACAGAATTAGCTATTGAAAATCAACAGGAGACAATCTGAGCACACCATTGTAAGACATCTTAGAAGATGCCTTATTCCAAACTTTGATTTGTAGGATTTAACCATACCATAGAGAGGCTTCAAGGGCTTTCTTGGGAGCAATGAGAAGGCCTAAAGAGCAAATCTCAAGTTACTATCCCTGTAATTCTCCAACTCTTCATAAATCAGAGAAGTTCTACTTTAAACTGATTTACACACTGGGTGTCTGGATAAGACACTATTTACACAAAGCTAGCTAGTTAACCTTTAGCTCCATGTTTGCCAGTTTGGTGTTTCCCAGAATAAAATTTCCAAAATATGTTAATATTTAGTTTATTTATAAGTACTTATCTCTTTAAATATTCTCTAGAGCAAGATTCCATATGTTACTGTTTTGGGACACATTTTCTCAATATTTCCTAGAGTAATCTTGAGTCTTGGCCAAAACTTCTATTCTAAAGATTATAGAAAATCTCAAATACTAAAGGAAGAAATATCCCTGAAGACAGTCAGAGACAAAAATGGGAGATGGGACTACTCTCTTCAGCCTGGAAATTGTGCTCTGTAACTCAGCCAAAGGAGACACCAAATTAGAGTGGTTGTTCAGTAGCACCAGGCTGTAGCAGGTATGTTCCACAGGTCCCCTGGGCACAAATCCCTGACCAGCCTTCCCACAAGGCTGGGATATTCCTTTTTGGATGTCCTTCATACAGGATATGTAGCAGTCTAGTCATTTACTACAGCGAAGGCAAACCCTGGCTTAAGCTGTCTTCTAGTGCTGAACAAGAAGGATACTGAAGCAGTATCCTAGTGGGAGAAAAAAGAAACCCAACAGGTAAACTACAATGAATCCCTAAGCAAACATATTCAGTAAAAATAAAACAATACAGACAGAAAAGATTGGAATAAATTACTAACAATTCAATGCAAAGATACATATATTAATACATCCACAAAAAACAATAGCAAACATGGAACCATGATCTCCCCAAACACAGAAAGCAAGGAACCAGGGAATGACCATAAAAAGACAATGATACATTTGCTGAACTGAAAATTCATAAGAGGCTTTCAAGAGCAGAATAGTTCAAAGAGAATCAGTTAGCTTGAAGACAAGCTAATTGAAAATACAATCAGAAAAGAAAAAAGAATTTAAGAAATCCCCAAAGAGTGCCTGCAAGATATAGAAAATTATCTCAAAAGACCACATCTAAGAAATATTGATGTTCAAGAGGAAATTAAGCAAGAACGAGGGGTAGAAAGCTTTTTCAAATAATACCAGAAAACTATCCAAAATTTGAGAAAGATATAAATAGCTCAGGAATATCATAGAACACCAAACAGATTTACCCCAAATAAGACTACCCTGAGGCATATAATAATCAAAACTCTCAAAGGTCTAGGACAAAGAGAGGATCCTAAAAAGTAGCAAGAGAAAAGAAGCCATAACATATGAAAGAGCTACAATTCATCTGGCAACAAACTTCTCCATGGAAACCATATAGGCCAAGAAATGTTGGGATGACATTTTCAAATGCTGAAAAAAAAAAAAAAAAAACTTCCATCCAAAAATACTGTGTAAGACAAAGCTGTATCTCAAATATGAAAGAGAGATAAAGTCTTTTCCAGACAAACACTGAAAGTATTCACCACCACCAGATTTGTCTTAAAAGGAAGGCTCTAGGGAATTCTTCAATCTGAAAGAAAAAAACAAAACAAAACAAAAAAAACACTAACATGCAAAAAGGAAACACATGAAAGTATAACGCCACTGATAAGGTAAGTACAAACCCAGAAAACTCTAACCTGGTAACCGTGATGTGCAATTCACTCATAACTATGGCATAAAGTCTAAATGACAAGTCCATCAAAAACAATGATAGCTTCAGAACCCTGTTAAGAGACAGGCAATAGAAAAAAATGTCAATTCAGACAATAAAGAGTAAAAATGGGGGAGGTGGTGGAGTTAAAGTGTAGAGGTTTTTTTCTTTTTATATTTGTTTATTTGTTTCTATTATTTGCTTTTGATCAAAGGTAAGTGTCATCACTTTAAAATAACGTGTGATATCTATAAGACATTTTCTTTAAGCCCTGTGATAACCATGGTGCCAAAAACTATAATAGGTACACTGAAAACAGAAAGCAACGGATTAAAAAAATACTATCAGAGAAAATAACCATAAAAGAAGACACTAAGAAAGAAAGAGAATTATAAGACAGGCCAAAAACAAGTAAAAGGAATGGTAGTAGTAAGTCCTTACTAATCAACAATAACATTGGGTATAAATAGACTCAATTCTCCAATTCAAAGAATTGACTGAATGGATAAAGGAAGAAGACCCAACTATATACTGCCTCCAAGAAACCCATTTCACCTAGACAGACTCACACAGACTGAAAGTGAAGTAATGGAAAAAAAAATTTCATGCATGTGGAAACCAAAAAAGAACAAGAGTAGTTGTGCTTATATCCCTCCAAAATAGAGTACATGCCAAAGACTGCAAAAACAGACAAAGAAGGTTACTATATATGATAAAAGGCTCAATTCAGCAAGAGAATATAGCAATTTTAAATATCTTTGCACTCAACACCAGAGCACCCAAGTATATAAAGCAAACATTAATAGGTCTAAAGGGAGAGTTAGCGTACAATACAATAATAGTAGGGGATTTTAACATCCCACTGTCTGTAATAGACTGAAAATCAACAAAGAAACATTAGAATTAAACTATGCAATAGACCAAATAGGCCTAATTGACAGTCACAGAACATTTCACCCAACTACTGCAGAATATACATTATTTTCACTAGCACATGAAACATTCTTCAAAGCAGACCATATCTGAGGCCACAAAACAAATATCAAAAAATTTTAAAAAGTAGACATTATAATCAAGTATCTTTTCTGACCATGATGGAATGAAACTAGAAATCAATAAAAAAAAAAAGGAACTTTGGAAAATACATAAATACAAGAAAATTTTAAAATTTCATTAAAAAGCCCAGAACCTGATTGTTTCATTGCTAAATTCTTCCAAACATATAAAGAACTAATACTAATTCTCTCAAATGATTTCAAAAAATTGAAGAGGAGAGAATATGTTCAAGCTCATCTGTAAGATCAGCATTAACCTGATACCAAAACCAGACAGGGACACAACCAATAGAGAAAACAACAGGCCAATAGCACTGATGAACATGGATACAAAATTCTCAATAAAATACTAACAAACTGAATTCATCATCACATTAAAAAGGATCATTTCTCATAATAAATTGAATTACTAGTTTTATTTCAGAACTGCAAGGATGATTCCACATACGCAAATCAATAAACATGATACATCACATTAACAGAATTGAGAACAAAAACCATATGATCATTTCAATAGATGCTGAACAAGTATCTGATAAAATTCAGTATCCCTTTATAATAAAAATCTTCAACAAACTGGGTATAGAAGGAACATACCTTTACATAATAAAGGCCATATATGACAAACCCACAGCTAATATCATAGTGATGAGGAAAAATTGAAAACCTTTCTCTTAAGGTCTAGAATGAGAGAAGCAAAGATGCTCACTTTCACCACTTTTATTACATGCAATACTGGAAGTACTGACCCAGAGCAAATAGGCAAGATAAATAAATAAAAGACATCCAGACTGGAAAGGAAGAAGCCAAATTAGTCTTGCTTGTAAATGGCATGGTCTTATATTTAGAAAATCCTAATACACACTCCCTCAAAAAGCTGTTCAAACTGTTAAACAAATGCAGTAAAGTTGCAGGATACAAGATCAGCATACAAAAATCAGTAGCATATCTATATGCCAACAGCAAACAATGTGAAAAAAAAGTCAAGAAATCAATCTTATTTCAATAGCTACAAAGAATATAAAATACCTAGAAATCAATTTAACCAAAAAAGTAAAAGATCTATAATAGGAAAACTATAAAAACACTGATGAAAGAAACTGAAGAGGATACAAAATATGAAGATATTTCATGCTCATAGATTGAAGGAATTAATATTGTTAACATGTCAATATGACCCAGAACAATTTATGGATTCAATGCAATCCTTATCAAAATAGCAATGACATTCTTTACAGAAATAGAAAAAAACTTCTAAAGTTTATACAGAACCACAAAAGAGCCTGAATAGCCAAAAAAAATTCCTTAGCAAA